GAGCAAAAAAATTTGTGTACAAAATCAAAGGGAAGTAGTCTCTATTTATACACAAAGGGGAGAGAGGAAGAGCCGTCAGTCATGAAGGCTAGTAACCAATGCAGTAATGAATTCTGCAAAACTGATAGAATAAATCCATCATAAGTATAGAGGTTACACACTCTATATAGACATGTGTGTATATCTGTAGCAGTCACCACCTTTGATCTAGTCTAGAAAAAGATTCAGTTGGTGGGCCACTAACCTGGCCCAAACCAAACCTTATCCAGTCTAGCAAGCCTCAAGCCCAAGATCCAAGGACCCAAACCCGGCCTTGGCCCGGTTTGGGCAGGCGAGCATGGCACTTTTTGCATAACTAACTTGGACCATAGTCTTGGTCTAAGTCTATTCTTGAAGCATCCATAACTCTTTTCTTTTGAAAAATTGAGATGCCCTAAAGAGCTCACACCCTCATAAAAAAGGGGAACTTACCAATAAGTCTCATATACAAAGTTCAAGACCCATCTAATCCTCAAACAAAACAGTTGTACCAATTAGTCCTATACATTTTTAATTGTTACCAAAAAATCTTTTTTTTTTTAATTTACAGACACTGTTACATCTTACTACCGTCGGACTTCTGTCAAATGGTCACCGGAGGCTCGTCGGAATGTTCAACATCACTGGGAAATCGCCAGAGTATCGCCGGGAAGTCGTCGAAGTATCGTTGAAAGTTCACCGGACTGTTAAAAACGTTAATGGAAGTCGCCGGAATGTTCATAACGTTCACTGGACGTTAAGAACATCACAGGAGACTCACTGGGATGCATAGCATATTGCCAAAAAAATAAATAAATTGAGAAATTAGAGCGGAAAAACATAACAAAATGTGCTAAATATTGATAAATTGAAAGGAAAAAAAATGAAACGACAAAAAAAAACAACAATGGAAAAAACATATGTTATTTTTCAATTTTTGTAAGGTTTAAGAAAATAATCTCCAATATTGATCAAACTGAGAAGTAAGTTTTGAAACTGTAAAATGTTACAGTTTCAAAGCAAAAATCTATTAAGCATTTATCCTTATTAATCAAACTGAAAAACATATTATAAAACTATAAAATTTTACAGTTATAAAGACTGTTATTAAACTGCAAAATTTTACAGTTTTATACCATGATTCATTCCAGCACCAAAAAAATTTAAAACTGTAAAATTTTACAGTTTTCACCGTCTGTAACTAAAACTCGAAAACAACTTGTTCAGAACTTGAAAATTTTCTCCATTAGAACAGAAAAAAGAGAAGTATATAGTAGAGAAAATCTAGAAAAAAATAAGAGATCGAAGGAGAAAGACAGATATAGAGAGAGGATTGTACTCCGGCAACTATTTTTTGTTTGGATCTAGCCAAATCTGATATAGATCTACTCAGATCTGATGTAGATCTATATCAGATCTAAGTAAATCTACTCATCTTCTTCATCGGAAACACATCTTCTTTATCGTCGGTGAGGGTGAAGTAAGGAGTCGGCGGTCGGTGGTTACCAGTGAATCCTAATCGATGGTAGTCGTCGGCCGCCGATGACTATATATCGGAAAGTGAAAAAGAAGAAGCAAGATATGGTTACTCGTCAACGATCGCCGGAAATCACAAAGAGCAAAAGAGGTAGAGAAGAAGAGAGGTAGAGAAGAAGAGAGACAGAGAAGAAGAATAATGTTATAGGACTTTTGGGTATCAACAAAAGGTTATAGGACTAAATAGACTACACGTTTTTCAAAAAAGACTTCTTGATAATTTTTCCTATAAAAAACTAGGAATTTAAATACCCATTAATATTTTCTTTTATAATTAATGTAGGATATGTAATTAGTTACACACATTTCTCAATACATCATTCATGAGGCTATTTTATGAGATTATTTCTTGTTTAAATCTCAATGATTTTTTGTCCTTTTTTTTTTTTGTGGTGTAAAGATTTTATTACAAAAAATCTAAATTCACTTAGACCCACTTCAATTAGTGGTTGGGGCGTACTTTAATTTTGCATTAAAATCACTAAAAAATTATTATTTTCCAACATAAGGGTTGAGTTTCTCTATTTTTACTGCGTGATCTTTGATTTTATTCCTTAAATCTCAAAAACGAAATTTAATTGATTGTGAGGTTTGATTTAACACCCACAAAAACCAAATCTGCTCATGGTGTGTACTCATAGCTACTTCTCCATAACCCTATCAAATTTTGAATTCAACAATGCTAGGAGGTCACAATTTTTGTGGCCACAATAACTTAAAATTGTCAAAATGACTTCATTTTGACATATTTTACACCCAAAACGATACCGTTTTGACAATTTTAAACTATTATAATCACAAAAATTGTGACCCTCAAATATTTTCCTTTTAAATTTTGCCTCAAAAGGTAAATAACATCTTTGACCCAATTGATTAGGGAAGTTAAAACAAAAACAAAGCGCAAAGCAATTAATGAGAGACAAGACAAGTTTTGGGGAGAGAAAAAAATTAACAGCGTGTTTGGTTTAGTTTTAAAATTATAATTCGAGTTAAGTTGTATTTTGAGTTATAAAATTTTGAATCATGATATCAAAAAAAAAAATTTATTTGATTATGAGTTTTGAAAATAATTTTTAGATGATTTATATATATATATTTTGGATTAATTGACGTATAGAATGTGCGAGGAGAGATGAGAGAGAAAAAAGTACTTAATTGATTGATTAATAATAATAATAAAAATAGAAGAGTTTTGAAGGTAATTTCGAATTATATTTTAAAAATATATTTAATTAATATATTTTATCTAAATCATGATTTAAAAATGAAGAAGTCTTAAAAAGTAAACCAAATGTCACCTATATAATTACTAGGTTCACAATCTTGTCTCTTATCACAGTGATTGTAAGGAAAAAATTATATGAAATTATTATGATTTAAATATAATATTTTATTTTATTAACTTTTTAATTTATTTTATTTTTTGTGACTATTTTAACGTGATAATCCATACCAAACGAAGGCTTTGAGAGGGTTGTAAAGGGTCTGTTTGGTAACGTTTACGTTTTCAGTTTATATTTATAAAAATTTTATAAACTGGTTTTTATTTATTTTTAGAAAAACATAAACTATAAACATGTTTGGTAATTGACAAAATTTTTAAAAAAATTTAAAAATATAAAAAAAGAGTAAGAAATGGCAAATGGCGGCGGAAGACGGTGGTGGAAAGTGGTGACGGTGGGTGGTGGGTAGCGGGTGGCGGGTGGGTGGTGGTGGTGGGGGGGGCGGGATGGGTGGGTGACGGTGGCGGGTGGTAGGTGGTAGCGCGTGGGTGGCGCATCAAATTTTAGACTTTTAATACCGACATATTAACCGATATAGGATTGTATTACAAATATTTGTAAGTATCCCAGTACGAGTCTATGGCTCAATGTTGCAATGTATCTTGGGGTTTAAATAATTAGGTGCATTATGGAGGTAAATCTGATTCTCTTGAAGTGCTTTGCAGTAGCATAGCTGGTTCCTATGGCAAGTTTCTTTTGTGTTCTTCATTTTACTTTGTTGTCATTATTGTTAATCCAAAACTTTTTACATTGTGTTTTGAATCATTGAGAAAAGGTAAAATGGGTTCTAATTTGACAATTTGATTGTTTATGTTCCCATCTTTCTTGTCCTTTAACCAAAGCTTAGGAAGAGCAAATGAATACGATGGAAAGTAGGTAAAAGAAAACCTATATCTAGGCCTTTGGGACCTAAACAACACGTGTGATGACTCTCTCTTTTCTCATATAGGCCTTTAATCAACCAGTGATTGTGTTTTTTAACCATGGACCACAGAATAATACAGAAGAACATCTTTTGAATATAAGATCCAAACAAGGCATATATAGTCAGTGATACTCCACTAATTATTTTTTTAGGGTATCACTTATTTATAATTTCTACTTTATTTAATATTTTAATTGTAGAAAATTTGATATAGAGGGGGGTGGTGGTGGGTGGTGTGTGGTGGTGGCAGGTGGGTGGTGGTGGGTGGTGGTGGTAGGTGGGTGGTTAGTGGTGGTGGCGGAAGACGGCGGTGGGAAATGGTGGCGGGTAGTGGCTAGGGTTGGGTAGTAAAAAAAAAAAAAACTCAAAACTCAAAACAGAAACACATTTTTTGAATTTACATTTTTTGGCCAAATTTATAAACTGAGACCACTGATTTATAAATCAAAAATTTACCAAACAAGTTTTTATTTGAGTTTTTTTAAATTTTTGTTAATTTAAAAAGAAAACTAAAAACGTAAGTGTTTCCAAACAACAAAGTATTTGTTTGCTGTGAATTTTTAGTTATACCAACAATTACATCATGACCAATATTGAGGCTATGTTTGGAATATTATTTTAGACCAAAATAGTCCTATAGGATAAAATTAACTATTTTAATTAAATAAAATAAAACATCATATCTAATTCATAATTATTTTATTTTTTTCCTTATAAAAATTTAAAAAATTAAAATTTGGTCATTTATTTGGTAGAAAATTTGGGACCTCTAGCATTTTCCAATTCGTATGGGTAATGCTAGGGACCTCTAGCATTTTCCAAAACTAAAGTTTAGCTCATCCAATCCAGTCAAGCCAAGTGTCCGACCGACATTGGAGGATTTGACAGTTCGTAGTCAATTAGACAATGGCACGGCACCTACTGTTACTGTGCACCTTGGAGGTTTCATAATTTTAACCGTTTACATTTTAAATTATATTAAATATAAGATATTTATAAAAATTAAATTAATAAAATATCATTAATTATTTTATTTAATTATATTTATATTTTATAATTATTATTTATTTTTATACATATAAAATATGAGTAAATAAAAAAATAAGCAACATTCAATTAATTTAATTATTTATAAATATATTTTATTTAATATATTTTAAAATATGACCAATTCATTTGAGTCCATTTGACCACACAGGAGCCACCCATCCATTAGATAAACCCTTATATATATGTGCACATTGAGCATAAGGTAGTGATCTCCTTCGAGGAAATTGCTCAAGTGTCATAGTCTACTCTCTCTCTCTCTTTATATGTATATAGTTCGCCAGAATCAATGGATACGAAGGTCATCTCCACCGGAATCCGGTACTCCAGCCTCCCAGAAAGTTATGTCCGGCCGGAATCGGAGAGACCGAAACTATCCGAGGTCGAAGATTGCGAAGATGTACCCATAATTGACTTAGGTTGTTCCGACCGAGTATTAATAGTCCAGCAAATCGGCCATGCTTGTCGGATTTATGGTTTCTTCCAGGTGTTTTTTAACCCTAATTTTATTTTTAAAAATATAAAAATAAAATAAAATTTTATGTAATTAATTGGTTTTTTTATATATATATATATATGTTTTAAAATTTTTAGGTGACAAATCATGGAGTATCGACGGAGGCGGTGTTGAAAATGCTACAAGTGGCACATGAATTTTTCCAATTGCCGCTGGAGGAGAAGATGAAATTGTACTCCGACGACCCATCAAAGACTATGAGACTCTCCACAAGTTTTAATGTCAAGAAAGAAAAAATTCACAATTGGAGAGACTACCTCAGACTCCATTGCTACCCTTTAGATCAATATGTTCCTGAATGGCCCTCAAACCCTTCTTCTTTCAAGTAAGTTTCAAAATCTCTCTCCCTATCTTTCTCAATTTTCATACACAAATCAAAAATTTATTTGACTTATTAACAGTGAATTTTTGTTAATTTTATCTACGTTAAATTTTAAAAATAATAATGGCGCGAATTAGTACCACAGATGATCAGTCAGAAGTTATTACATAAGCAATCATAGTCATTATTACACATTATGAAAATGATAAGCTATTATTTTATTACTAATCATATATAATTAATTAATATTTAATATATTTTTAATAATTTTTAAATTACTTTAAAGTAAATAACTTTTTTTAAATAAAAATGGCGCGAAATAATACCACTAGGTTAAATTGGTACATGTATACCCTTTAATCATTTTGAGAATACATGGGTGGAAGAATATTTTGTCTTATATCTCACATGCAATCGCCAATTTTTAGGTTACGTGACCTGTCAGAGAAGAGAGTTTCTTTTCTGTATCTCTTTGTTGTAAAATATTATATGTGGGCCAATTAGAAAGTTTCTTTTTAAGGGGGACCAGCATAAGAATGATTACTAAACTCTTCCACAATTGTCAATAGCTTAGAAATTTTGAAAGTCTTGAGGTTGTTTCTCTAGGAAATCATTTTAGGGCAGTGCATAACTTTCTATGTAACCAACAGTTGGATTCATTATGAGGAATTTCTAACAATACCCCCAGAATTATGATAATTTGGAATTCCTTTTGGAGAGATCCTATTGCTCTCATAGTGGTGTGGATCAATGAAATATTTATATTTTTTGTTTTTTTCTTTTGTACTTGAACTAATTACAAGTGAATAAAGATTGTGAAAGTAATATTTTGTAAGAGTTTGAATCATTATTGCTTTTAGCTATAAACCCATTTTCCCAATTGTCTTGTGGACCTCATTTTTCCACTTTTGATTTTTTTTTGGGGGAGGGGGGTTGGGAAGGCCCCTTTTTGTCTTTTGAGATCATTTTATTAACTTTTCTCATTATGCCTTTGTTTATTTTATTTTGTCTTTTGTGTAGCAATATCTTACATTGACCCATATATCCGGCTTTTCCGAGTCAACAAATAAAAGGGGTAATATAAATAATAAAAAAATAAGAAGTAATGAAAATAATTTCAAACTCATGTAAAAAATAATTGATATATATATATATATATAATTATATTTGTGTGTTTTATATTTTAATTAATTTAAAATTATTTTTTTTAACTTTTCAATCTTTTAATATTTTTGCTTTGGGAACAAAATAAAAAGTTAATTTTTAACTTTTTATCTATTTTGGATCACATCATTTCTCATATTTGTTTTATTCACAAAAGACAATAAATCAAAAAAAATAAAAAGTCAATTTTTTATTAACTTGTCAAAACATTACTTGATAAAATTTATATTAGTAGATAATAAGGTCGTCCCTATGTAGTTCAAGTAATTATAATCGATAGAGCGGCATCAAGTTGCTATAATAATTCTATTAATTTTTTAACATGTTCTAACATCTTATTAGGTGATCAATCTTTGTCAAAAGTATAAATTGATTATTTCTCTCATACTATTAGGGTGTGTTTGATTGGGGGATTAGGAAGGGACTATTCATTATTCGGATTGCTTATCCAAAGAAGTGAGTAATCCATCATTTGTTTTTTTTTTAGTCTGCCGAACATGGAGTCTGACCGGACTCCTTATCCTCCATATGAGGGATTATACTATCCCAAGAGGGGTGTGGGACCGTTTTGGGGGATTATTTACTATTGGGATTATGTGGTAAAATGACCATTTTGACCCTCTACTATTTAATTATGTATTATATTTAGAAAAATTCAATAAAATTTAAATGTCTCAATTTAAAAATAAAATAATTTTATTTAACTTTTTATTGATGTTTTATTTATTTATTTTTTTAAAATAATTTTTTATAGATATTTTATTGATGTTTTATTTTAAAATTTTGTTTATATTTTATTTAATTTCATGATTTAAATGTTAATAGATGTTTTATTTAATTTCATTGTTTAATTATTATTATTTTTAAAACAAATTTATTTAAAATTTTAATTAAAAAAATAACATATATTTTTATTGATATTTTATTTATTTTATTTATAAAAATAAATATATTTAATTATGTAAAAAATAAAATAAAATAAAATAAATTTTTATTTAATCTAACTAAAAATAATTAAAATATCAAGATATGTTTAATATTGCTATTATTTAGTAAATAATTGAAAAATGATAAAATAATATTTGGTTCATTTATCCTATCTAGTCCGTCCAACCAAACGTTGAATTCACTAAAAATATTTCTTTCCTCACATCTAATCCCTTGGAGAAACAAACACATGATACATATTCAATCCAACTAAATAATTCGGAAGATTCACAGTCCTAGAAATCAAGTCCGATAAATTATAATCTCTCCTTATTCAGTTCGTCCAATCAAACACACCCTTAGAGTTTTCATTATATTGAGTTTATTCCTTTCTATAGTTGGCTCTCTTACT